ATACAGGGAGCAGAGATCACGCCATTGCACTCCAGCCTGGGCGACAGAGCGAGACTCCATCTCAAAAACAACAAAACCCAAAAAAACTGTCAATAGGCTAATTTTCCCAGCAATTTTCAGGTGACACGATATTGGCTTTTGTAGGGCAGTTTCAGCATAACGTGGGGATAAAGGAATCAAGAGCCCTGGTAGGAAAAAAGTTCAGTTGACTGACTATGAGGTCTTCATAAAGGAGGAAGAGAAACAAATTCTGACATTCAGAGAAAGTAAGAGACCAAGAGGCCATAGGGACCTTTCTGACATCTAGTCAGCCTACTGAAGTCCCTCTTTATCCTCCAAAACAATATAATAACCTTAGAACCTTTAATCTCTCGTCAGCAGCACCTTGATTTTTTTCTGTTGACTTGGATTTTAGTTTTATCTTTTTTTAAACCCACAAGACATAATTGTTTTATACAGTTAATTTTAATTTAGATTTACACATTTCCCACTTTCTTTGTTCACTGTTTCTTTGTCTATATATGACTTTCCATAGGGAATCATTTTCCTTCCATTTGAAAGACACTCAACTTTAATGAGTCTCTGTTGATGACATTGTTTTTTTTTTTTTTTTTTTCCAAAAATGCCTTTATAATCCTCATTCATGAAGATACAATTCCAACTATCTCCCATTGTTGCCATCTTCTAATTTTGCTTTTGTTGTTGTTGTTGTCATTGTTGGTGTTATTTTGAGACAGAGTCCTGCTCTGTTGCCCAGGCTGGAGTGCAATGGTGCAATCTTGGCTTGCCGCAACCTCCACCTCCCAGGTTCAAGCCATCCTCTGCCTCAGTCTCCTGAGTAGCTGGGAGCCACCATGCCTGGCTAGCCATCTTCTAATTTTCGTTCCTTCAAAGGTAATCTATTTTTTCTCTCTAGGTTTTTTTTTTTTCCTTTTTGAGACAGTCTTGCTCTGTCACACAGGCTGGAGTGCAGTGGTGCAATCTCAGGTCACTGCAACATCTGCCTCGGGTTCAAGTGATTCTCCTGCCTCAGCCTCCTGGGTAGCTGGGACTACAGGAGCGTGCCACCACACCTGGATAATTTTTTGTATTTTTAGCAGAGACAGGGTTTCACCATGTTAGTCAGGATGGTCTCGATTTCCTGACCTCATGATCCGTCCGCCTCAGCCCCCCAAAGTGCTGGGATTATAGGTGTGACCCACTGTGCCCAGCCCTCTAGGTTTTTAAAGATCTTCTTGGGTGTTCTACAGTTTCACTAGGATGTGTCTCAGTGTAAATTTATTTATTTATCTGGCTTGGAGTGTCAGGATTCCAGAATCTTTAAATTTATATCTTTTGTCAGTTCTGGAAATTTTCAGCCTTTATCTTTTCAAATATTGCCTCAATTCTCTTCTTTTCTTCTTCTGGAATCCAGATTAGATGTGTTATAGCGCTCTGCTTTTTTTTTTTTTTTTAACTTTTTTTCATCTCTATTTGTGGATAATTTCCTAGATTGACCTTCTATTCACTAATTTTCTCTTCAGCTGCATCTAATCTATTGTTAACCTTGTGCATTACATTTTTAACTTAAAGATTTTCATTTTTAACATTCTATTTGATTCTTAAGATTTTAGAGTCTTGTTCTTTATTAATATGTCCATATGAATAAAGTTTGGTTTATTCATATGGACATATGAATAAATTTAGTTTATTGAAATAGATTTTTGGAACATATTAGACATAGTATTACAAATTCTGTGTCAGACAACTCTGTATATTTGAGGTTGTTATAAATATTATTATACTATTTTTTTCCTGTCATTCATGGTTCCATGTTTTCTATATGTGCTTTGTGTTTGTGATTCATGACTATGAGCTCCGATTTCTTGGGATTATATGTGGGGAAGTCCTTTGAAGCCTGAACTGAAGGTAAGTCCTCCCAGACTGGATTTATGTTTGATTCTTCCAGATGCCTGGAAGCACTGTTAGCCAAGAACCAATTTAAACTACATTCTCAGCTTGCAGGTTTTTGGACCACTCAGGGACTGTGAATACAGGCTGTAATTCCACATAGGAACCAGCTCGTGGTTATAAATTCTCAGGGAAGACATCCACCATGACGAGCCCCCCTACTCATTGTTAAAGTTTGAAAAAGGTAATTTACCTTGCAGTCTCTACCATGGGAGTATTCATCCATGGAGTTCCAATTTTTATTGCAGCATGGGGAGTGTCTCCTATTAGATACTCTACGTTGTATGGGGTCTGGGTTTTGTCACCTGGCTCTCATGCCTACAGGACTATGAAAAACAAAGCTCTTACCTTCATGCAATGGCAGTATCGTAACCAGTGAGGTTTATCTGAGGCGCAATTATTGCTAATTGAAAACTTTTCTGAATACACTGCCATAATGACTTGAAATATACTCGGCATTGGCAATTTAATTTTTGACAGTCTCTACAGAGACTGAAGAAAAAAAGAAAAAAGAAAAAGCTCAAGTTTGCCTCATTTGGCAAATGATTCCCAGATGAAAGCTAGTGTTCTGTGTTCTGCCTACTACTCTAAGTTATTCATTTTGTTTTGTTTTTGGCCTTTCTGTATTCCTTACCAATTTTCTAGCTCGTCAGTACATTTTAAAAGATTTTAAAAATATTTTATCCAGCATTAAAGTTGCTGAACCACACTCCCAGAAGCAGAAGTGCATCTGGTGAGTTCCTTAGGGGAAACCAATAGATACCTGACTTGGAAGACCCAGCTCTGCTTCAGCTTTCTTCCATCTTCAACTGGGTATGAGCTCCTCTCACACCCAGTTAATTCCGCAGTGTCTTACTGTTGTGAACTGCATACCTCTCCCCTGGGGGCTAAAGCCCAATTATTTTCTAGTACATCCACTTTCTACATAAACAGCGGAAATTCAGGTTGCTTTCCTTACAAACAGCATTGTTCTCTTTCCTTTTCTCTTTAAGAGGTAATAGGGCAGTTTTTAAAACCTCCCTCTCTCCTGGGTAGGCTCAATGTTTGAGTGCCTCCCTTTCTCACATTCGTCTTCAGGTGGGGGTGGGAGTGGGAGTGAACACTGCCTTCTGCACTAGGTGGAAGGCTTGCTCTTCCGAGGAATTCTTTTCTTTGTTTTGAGAGAGGGTCTTGCTCTGTCACCCAGGCTGGAGGGCAGTGGCACGATCTCAGCTGACTGCATCCTCAGCCTCCCCTAGCTCAAGCTGATCCTCCCACCTCAGCCTTCCCAGTAGCTGGGGACTACAGGCACACCACCATGCCTGGTTTTTTTTTTTTTTTTTTTTTTTTTTTTTTGTAGAAACAAGGTCTCACTATGTTGCCCAGGATGGTCTGGAACTCCTGGGCTCAAGTGATCCTCCCTCCTCAGCCTCCCAAAGTGTTGGAATTACAAGTGTGACCCACCGTGCCTGGGTAGGGATTTTTCCTTTTCTTTCTGATCATACTCTTATATAGCCTGGGAAAGAGGGGTGGGATTGAGGCAATGGTTAATAATAATAGGGCAAATTCAGAATTCAGCACCTAGCCCTCTTTGTTAAGACCTGAGAATTTCTCACCCCAAATGTTTTCATCTTTCCTTAGAATGCAAAACTTAATCCTCAACTCACTCTGAGTCCTGGTTACCTATTCTGAGACAACAGGAAAAATTCCTTTTATTCTCTCATAGTAATAAGTGACTCTACTGCTGTTACTAAGCCAGTGGCTCTCATCACACTCAGAGTAAAATCTATACCCCTCATCACGACCTCCAAAGCCTTGCTCCATCAAACCCCAGTCTACCTTCCCTACCACTGCCCTGCTCACTCTCTTATCCCTCACTCTGCTAAGATACATTAGGCATCTGTTTCTAAGCACACCAAGCTTGTTCCCACCTGAGACTTTTTCACCTCCAGTTCCTTCAGCCTGTAATTCTTTCCCCCTTATGCACCTGCAGCTCCTTTTTTTTTTTTTTTTTTTTTTTCTTTTTTTGAGACAGAGTCTCCATCTGTCTCCCAGGCTGGAGTGCAGTGGTGTGATCGCAGCTCACTGCAACCTCTGCCTACCACGTTCAAGTGATTTTCCTGCTACAGCCTCCCAAGTAGCTGTGACTACAGGGGCAGGCCACCACACCTGGCTAATTTTTGTATTTTTAGTACATGCAGGGTTTCTCCATGTTGGCCAGCCTGGTCTTGAACTCCTGACCTCAGGTGATCCACCCACCTCAGCCTCCCAAAGTGGTAGGATTACAGGCATGAGCCACCATGCTGGGCCCACAGTTGCCTTCTTAAGTCGCAACTACTAAGTCACTTGCCTCAGAGAGGCCTCCCAGACTACAGAACAGTGATAGAAAGCATTCATTAGTTTTTATATTTATTTTTTTGAGACAGAGTCTTGCTTTGTCACCCACGCTGGAGTGCTGCAGTGCAATCACATCCCACCTCAACCTCTGCTCCGGGTTCAAACGATCCTCCCACCTCAGCCCCCAAGTAGCTGCGACCATAGGTGCCTGCTACTGCAACCAGTTAATGTTTGTATTTTTTGTAGAGACAGGGTTTTGCCATGTTGCCCAAGCTGGTCTTTAACTCCTGGGCTCCTCTTTCCTCAGCCTCCCAAAGTGCTGGGATTACAGGCATGAGCCACCGCGCCCGGCATAAAGCATTTATTTTTGAATGTTCATACCTTTGATAAAGCAGTGTGACATCAGGAACATTTTGTTGCAGTCATTTTCTACCATGTTGGTATGCAATGCTGTAATGTTAAGAAATCAAACCGAAATCTAGGAAATGTAGACTGAATATCTGTCATATATAAGACATAATTACATAAACCTAAAGCTGTATCTAAAAGTTGACCTATCTTTGTGTTGAAAATTTCCATCACTGTTGGCTTGTCCCAAACACAAAATCCTGCACAAGGGGCTACCAAATAATGAAATAACGCGGCAGTAGCACAGTCTGCCTTTGCACACTGTTCAGGAGGCCACGGATTTATTCGAAGTTTCTCTTTTCTCTGAAATGAGAAATGGAAATTACCTTTTGATGAAGTTGCAAGTGCCCCGCGCTCTGACGCTGCCTCACTCCCTTGCCGTGTCCCTCTTACAGCATAAGTCAGGACCATTATCTTGTGGATATGTTTGCATTTTTATAGTCAGCCTTGTCCAAAGGGTCATACGCTTGCTCCCCGAAAGCAGGGTCTTTCCCACTTCCCCGGCTAGCAACAAGCCCATTGCACAGAGGAGGCGCACAGTGTCTGTGGAATACATGGACACACGCACACTTCAGCATCACCGGCCGCCTCGCTCGACCTTCGCAGGGGTCCCTAACTCGCCTTGGAAGGCCGCCTCTGCGGGGGCCCGCACGCGGGGCCCTCTGGGAAGTGTAGTTCGCGCGCCGTAGGCGGCCCGGGGATTGCGGGAGCGAGGCACCGCGTGCGCAGGCGCACTTCCGGCTTTGCCCTGCCGCTGCGGCCATTGTCCGGCCCCCGTGCGGCTGAGGCCCCTTCGGGCAGCCCCTCCGCAGATCAGATTTGGAGATAACCGAGCCTGCGGCGGGGGCGGGAGGAGCTGGCCCGAGGCTCTGGGTGGGCCGGAGGTCGTGAAATCTGGAGCCCCCCCCTCCGAGAGGCGGTGATTCCGAGTGCGCGGGTCGGGGCGGCACCCCTTCTGGGTTTAGGGGGTGTCAGCCGGGCCTCGCCCACCACCCTGCGAAGGGGACTGGGCGTGGCTGGAGGGGGGTGTCCGGGAGGCCGCTGCGCCTTTCGTTTCGGGGATGGGGAGCTGCAGGCCCGGGCGGGGTCCGCGGTCCTCGCCTGCGTCTCCGCTAGAGATGTGGCTTAGGGGCGGAGGCGGGGCGGGGTAGGGTGGGGTTGGTGTTGCAGCCGCGTGAGTGGGCCCTGTCCTCTCTCCCCAGCTCCTGCCCCGAAGCCGGGCCCTGGCGAGGCAGGAATGGCCCCGAGGCCTCCGACGGCCGCGCCCCAGGTGAGCAACGCGTTTCTAACTGCCTGGGCATCCCATCCATCCATCCCATCCCCGAGGGTGTTTGGAGCAGTCATTGTTCTCCGCCTGGCAGCTCCCTTGCTTAGCTGTATCGCCCCCTCGGAGCCTCCTAGCCTTGCAAAACCCCAATCTTCGGGGAACGGGATTCCCAAGGGGCAGGCTGCGCTGTGGGGTCTGGGGGGTGAGTGTGGTGCGATCTTGTGAGAGGAGTTGAGATTGGATGCGTTAGGATGTATCTGTTTTGAGAATCCGGAGTGCTACACCAGTTTTTTGAACTCAGCAATATGGAATGGAGAGAGAGTGGGGTGACAGGATGGAACACTGTAGAGGAGGAAGTGACTGTCGGCGAGTGAGGAGAGAGGAGCCCCAGCTTCTGACTCAGGGCTCCTAAGAGAGTCCGTGAGGGGCTGTAGAAGCCTGGTCAGAACATGTCTAGGAAGAAGCTGGAGATGGGCTTTCTTCAGCAAGGAGGCAAAAACAAAACAAAATAAAAACCAAAAACAAAACCAGAGCTGATTCTCCCAGAGCTTTTTGTGTCCATTTCTGCTTTAACAAAAATGTAATTGAGCACACCACCTCCCCCCAGAAGTCCAGCCTTCACCTTAATTAATATGAGGCTGATTCGGGAACCCATTTATTCTTGTGGCAGAAGGGGCCATTTTCTAGAAGCATCACAACTCTAAGGTTGATTTACATTGATTTACATATCGGTGAAAATACATCAAGATCCAGATGGTATCTGAATATTTGAATCTACACTCTTTAGGATTAAGGAAAAATGACCGATTGTAGTTGCTAGGTGTGTGAGACATCAAGATCAATCCAAATAAAAATACCAGGTTGCTAGGTACAGTGGCTTACACCTGTAATTCTGGCACTTTGGGAAGCTGAGGCAATAGGATTGTTTAAGCCCGGGAATTTGAGACTCTGTCTCAAAAAACAAAAACAACAACAACAAAAAAAACTACCAACTTAGTAATGTCCTTTAAAAGCAGTTTACAGTAAATTAAGCATACTATACATCATGGTTTTTTGTTTTTGTTTTTAAGATAAAGTCTCTCTTTGTCACCCAGGCTGGAGTACAGTGGCATGATCTTGGCACACTGCAACCTCTGCCACCTGGGCTCAAGCAATCTCCTGCCTCAGCCTCCTGAATAGCTGGGACTACAGGTACACGCCACCATGCCCAGCTAATTTTCGTATTTTTTGTTTATTCTATTTTATTTTTTGAGACACAGTCTCATTCTGTTGTCCAGGCTGAAGTGCAGTGGCATGATCTCAGCTCACTGCAACCTCCACCTCCTGGGTTCAAGTGATTCTCCTACCTCAGCCTCCCTAGTAACTGGGATTATAGGCACACCCACCACACCCGGCTAATTTTGTATTTTAGTAGAGTCAGAGTTTTACCATGTCGGCCAGGCTGGTCTCCAACTCCTGACCTCAAGTGATCTGCCCACCTCGGCTTCCCAAAGTGCTGGGATTACAGTTATGAGCCACCACGCCTGGCCTAATTTTTGTATTTTTTGTAAAGATGGGGTTTCACCAGGCTGGTCTTGAACTCCTGAGCTAAATGATCTGCTCGCTTCAGCGTCCCAAAGTTTTGGGATGACAGGCATGAGCTACCACCACAGTGGGCTGCCTTTATATGTAAATTTTTTATTATATGTTTCTGTTTTATAGGGATGCGCCTTAAGGAGTAAGACACCTTGCATTACTAAAACAAGACAGTTATTTGATCTGAGGAGAGCCAGAGCATATCATGATTATTATCTCCTTTAAAGTGTCTTCCATAGGCTGTGAGAATTAGATGACTTAACACCTCATCAGGGATTCTGGTCTTTTCCATAATGGGAGGATACCTTTTTAGTGGCAAAAGTGGATTCATATCTGAGCAGTGAATTTTAAGGACCACTCGAAACTTTACTTTTCAAAGTGTGTTCCCTAAGCACTCTGGCTCAGTTGCTTTCTCATGGAATGGCCTGATGTCCATGTGGGTTATTTAACTTAGGGTGCAGATGATAACCGGAGATGAAGGACAGAACAAACACTGGTCCTAAATGGGGCTTTTCAGGCAGAAATTTCCCTTTAGCAGTGATTCCCCTTCTCTGAGCATCGCCCTCAGGAGAATACAAAGATGAATAATGAGTCCTATGACTACTTAACTGGCAAGTTAATTTAGTGGGAGCAGACAGTCTCCTGCACAAGTAGAGCACGAGAGCTGGTGCCAAGTGTTGTTGATGAGGTCCAGAGGCTGCTGGGAGTTAAGAGAGGAGCCAGGACATTCTGCCAGTGGGAAGGAGTCAGTGGAGCTGTCACCTTTGAATAGGAACAGAAACTAAGCAGGTGAAAACAAAAGGGGACTGTAATCCCAGCAATTTGGGAGGCCAAGCCAGGCGGATCACTTGAGGTCAGGAGTTCGAGACCAGGCTGGCCAACATGGTGAAAACCTGTCTCTACTGAAAATACAAAAATTAGCCGACCATGATGACAGGCACCTGTAATCCCTATTTGGGAGGCTGAGGCAGGGGAATCGCTTGAATCTGGGAGGCAGAGGTTGCAGTGAACTGAGATCCAATCACTGCACTCCAGCCTGGGCAACAGAGTGAGACTCCATCTCAAAAAAACAAAAGAAAACAAAAGGGGAGAGGGGAGAGCTGATTGACTTGGTGGGTCAGGGGAGTTGGGAGGCAAGAAGATGGGTGCATGTTCATTAAAGCATTGTTTTGTGTAACATCAGCTGTGGGCTGCTGGCAGTGGGTAGAGGAGAATGGAAGGAGTTTGGACTTTTTTCTTTTTGGCCTTATAACTCATTCATCCATTCATCATTCATTCATCTACTCATTCATTTGATAGTCATTGAGCCCTATGATGTGTCAGGCACTTTTCTAGGCAGTTGAGATACTTTAGTGAACAAAATGAGAAAGGACTCTGCTCTTAAGGAGCTTACATTCTACAGAGAGCAGACAGAAGAACTCAGTAAATAAGTAAATTGTATGGTATCCTAGAAGGCAGTAGTATCTCAAGAGGGAAAAAAGGTGGAGAAACGTAAGGGGGATTGAGGGAGGAGGTGGGGGCCTTGTAGTAGGGGTGCAATTTAAAATGATGTGGTCAGGGCAAGCCTTATCCTTACTGAGATGGTGACATCTGAGTGGATTTGAAGGAGATGAGGCAGTGGATGTCTAAGAGAAGAATGCTCTGGGCAGAGGGAACAGTCTTAGCAGCAGGATGTGTGTCTGGTGTATTCAAGGAGCAGCAAAGAGGCCAGTGTAGCTTGAGCTGATGATTTTGGGCAGGGAACTAATACGACTTCTTAGATTTAAAGATTGCCATGAATGATGAATCCTAGGAGAAAAAGGTTGATATTACGTTTGATAATATAGTTCCTTTGGAGAGGTGTCTTGATGAGTGGGACCTTTCCCCTGAGCATAGTTAGCAGATACCGGAACTGGCTCCACCTGAAGTGGGATGGGACTGGAAGCAGAGATGGAGGAGCCAGGATACACTTAGAATGTTTACATAGATATAGCTATGTATCTATAGGATCATTAGGAGCTGTATCTATGTAAACATTACGTATTTTCATTTGCCTTTTTTTTTTTTTTTGAGATGGAGTCAGCCAGGTGGGGTGGCTCATGCTTGTAATCCTAGCACTTTGGGAGGCCAAGGCAGGTAGATCACCTGAGGTTAGGAGTAGATCACCTGAGGTTAGGAGTTTGAGACCAGCCTGCCAACATGGTGAAACCCCGTCTCTTTAAAAAAAAAAAAATTTGAATGCCAAGTGTCTACTTTGTTCTAAAACAACAACAACAAAAAACAAGAGAGATGGAGTCTTGTTCTGTCACCAGGCTGAAGTGCAGTGGTGCGATCTCAGCTCACCGCAACCTCCGACTCCCTGGTTCAAGCAATTCTCCTGCCTCAGCCTCTCGAGTAGCTGAGATTACAGGTATGTGCCACCACACCTAGCTAATTTTTTGTATTTTTACTAGAGATGGGGTTTCACTGGTCTCAAAGTTCTGACCTCAAATCAGTGATCCACCTGCCTTGGCCCCCCAAAGTGCTGGGATTACAGGTGTGAGCCACCGCACCGGCTTGTCTTTTCTTCATCACACGTGTACTACATTTTTAGTTAGGAAATGAAAAAGGCATTTGCCATTCTTAAAGCTGAAGCCACCAGAACAGTAAGAAATGAGGGAAGTTTTAAGCTGGGTGTGGTGGCACACACACCTATAGTCCTAGCTACTTGGGAGGCTGAGGTGGGAGGATCACTTAAGCTAAGGAGTTTGAGGCTACAGTGAGCTATGATTGCACCACTGCACTCCAGCCTGGCAGCAAAGAGACATCCCATCTCAAAAAATAAATAAATAAATAAAACAGAAA